CTTAGTGCTGACATTCCCAGATTTACAATTCACTCTTTCATCACAGAGTGACAAGCAAGACTTGCTCATCCTCCTATAATAACTTTGAAAATGGGACTGTCGGCTGTATTTACCAACCCTGTCATTTCTTAGCATAATTATAGCATACGTACTGAATAGAAAAGTTGTTTTTAACCTATATAAAAAACACAACTAAAAGAATAATACCTCTCTTCACTTCCCACCCTGTATTTCTCCACCTACCTGGTAGACAATAGGGATTTGTATTGTTAATTCACATATTATAATTGTGCACTTTTTCATAAACAATCTTAGCTTCAGTGATTCCATTTAAATAATGTTTAATGTGCAGTATAATATAATACGTCTAAACGGCTTACAGTAGCATGATGGACTCTCTTACAGACAAGTGTTATGATGTACTGGGTAATTTTTATTAATAGAAATCTGTATGTACAAGCACTCAAGGGCAAGTTCTTCCTTCCTAGATTGCAGCTAATTCAATAAATTTAAATGATGAAGCAATACAAGAAGGAACACAAACCTACAGTTCAATAAGATAAGCTATTACTGATGAAACTACAACTAAATGTGGTCAAAACCAATTTACTTGAAACAAACACAAAATTAGTTACATTTAAGAATCTTAAAACCAATGTATCCTGAAATTTTATAGTTAGTATAATTTTTCATTTTCGAGGTGGAATAATAAGCATAGAAATTGAAAATATTACTGGACTTTAAATATTTATATAAAAAATAAAAAGAGATAAGTCACTTTATAAATCCACATTTTAAAGGTTTGGCTTTGGTGTGACTTGCTTGGGGGAGATACACTCATTTGGATAAAGAATTTCATTTGTTTGTTTTATTTTTGACACTGTAGGACTTCAAACATTCTAGGAATAATTCTCCAAACCAATGGGAAGCACTAATATAAGTAAAACGATTCATTCTTTAAAACTTTGGTAAGCGTCCCTCCTCACTCGAACTCTGGAACATCCTGTTTTGAGACCTGCCACCCTGCCCCCCACAGCAAATGCCATTTTTTAATGAGTCCCTTTGATTATTAGACTGTTCTGGAAAGAAGCTATAGCCACTAGACCTTAGGTTATGAGCAGGATGATGTAATTTGCTTATAAGGCAAAGAATCATTTGTGCATAGACCCTTCTGTGAAAGCCTGACCACTCTATAGGTGCTCAATTAGCCCATTAAAAGGAGGAGCTCTGTGGCTGTCTCCTAAGACAATAAGATATTGCGCAATGGTATGTGTGCTGCAACCCATTTTATCTGCTGAAACCCACTGGTAAAACTGTCTTCTCCTGACCTGATGAGGCACACCTAGCTGCTCAGGGACTCAGGGCTGCTGGGAAACACACACCACCATTACTCCATTAGTTCCTTTAGTCCACAAATACCTGCCTTTACTTGGAGTGGTGAGAACTGTAATCCTCTTTTTCTCTAGGTGGTAGGTCCTCTGTTTTCTGACTCTGGGTTTAGGGAAAATGGTTGCATTAAACTTTGTTTTTCATTTTACTCATATATACCTGGTCAATATCTGAGTCCTCTGTTTAAAGGTTCATTGGTTAGAGAAAAACAACCTGCTTTTAGCTCCTCTTCTGAAAGTAGGAAGTTAGTTGTTAATAAAACTACATCAGTCTTTTATTCTATGATCATATCTCTATGTATTAAGTTTTCTACAACAGCGACATATTACTTTTTTAATGAAGCAAATACCATATTAAAAAAATAAAGTGGTGAATTTTTAAAAGTTGGCTTGTGATATTCTTAAGAATTAAAAATAAAAACATGAATGTAAAAGGCTAAAACAGGTAAACCTTTAATTGTCATGAAAAATTCATTGGAGAAAAGTTAGTCCTGGAAGCAGCATTCCCAAACTAATATAGCAATACTTAAATAATCATCTACAAAGATATCTTGCATTAAATATTGCCCAGATGATGACCTCAGAAAATATCTTCCAAGAAAACTGGGAGCTTTCCCTTGAAATGTCATCTTCTGTGGTTAGGGATATACTCTGAGCATTCATAACCTAACATGTTTATTATGATTACTGGGGGAGTTAAAATATAGCTGTAATTTTCATAAAACACTAAGATTTCTCTTTTGGGGGAAAAGAAGGACAAAATATGGGGGGGTAAGGGCAACATATGTAACCTAAACATCTGTACCCCCATAATATGCTGAAATAAAAAAAAATAAAATAAAATAAAAATAAAAAAAAAGAAAAAGAAAAAAGAAAATAACATGACGCCAACCAAAAGTTTAGGAGGATGATCGAGACTTTTACCATTATTACAGTATAAGTAATTTTAAAGAAATTTCCTAGATAATTCATTAATAGCAACAATATATTTGGACCATGTAATCAGAAAGTATATTTAAATACTTGAGATCCCCAACTGTTTCAGAAGCAAAAAAGTATGCTAGCAATTACTTTTTAAAAGTTTTTAACTTTTTCTCTGATTTTATCTTTGGACTTGTTTTTATTCAATGATTGTTTCATTGTTAATATTATTTTAATAAAGTCAGACTAAGGGAAGATTTTTCCTTGTATGTTAGGTGTCTTACTTAAAAATCTTACTTCAAATACAATTTAAAGGAGATGATGGTCAAAGTGTACAAAGTCTCAGGAGGAGTAAGGTAGTTTTTTTTTAGATCAATTGCTCAAAATGGTCAATAGAGTTAATAACAGTGTTACACATTTTAAAATTGCTAAGAAAGTAAATTTCAAATATTCTCATCACAAAAATGATACGTATTTGAGGGGATAGATATGTTAATTGTATTGATTTACTTATTGCACATTACATCCATAAATCACAACATCGCTTTGTACCACATAAATATATACAATTATAAATTGTCAGTTTATAATAAAATAATAAAAAAATATAATTTAAAGGTACTTAAAATTGTGTTTAACTTAAAATAACTTGTTTCAAAAAATACAATTTAAAGGTACTTAAAACTGTATTTACTTAAAATAAACTGCTTTAAAATTTTTATATTGTTGAGTTATATATATAATAGAAAAAAATTAGTCCAGTGCCTGGAATTAAATCTAGAGAAACTAAGACCCAAATTTATTCAAATGGAAGATAATGTGCACTTTTAACAAAAAGATGAATGAACTTGTTTAAGACAAACGCAAGGATCATTCATTTTTTTAAAATGACACATAACAGATGTACATATTTTAGGGGTACACATGATATTTTGATACATTCATATAATGTGTAATGACCAAATCAGGATAACTGGGATATCCATCACCTTAAACATTTATCTTTTCTTTATGCTGGGAACATTTGGATTATCCTTTTCTAGCCATTTTGAAATATACAATAGACTACTGTTTACTATAATCACCCTCCTGATTTATTGAGCATTAGGTCTTATTTCTTTTATGCAACTGTATCTTTATACTCATTAATCCACTTCGCTTCATCCTCCCCCCGACCCTTCCCAGCCTCTGGTAACCACCAGTGTACTCTCCACCTTCATGAAAAGGATCATTCACTTCTCACATTAGTTCCTCACATCTACCATTCTTATTCAATTAGTCATTACTTCAGGTAATATTTATTTACCATATATCCCCCTAAAACTCTAACCTGGTTGCTGTTGTTTGGGGTAAGAAGTAATCAGAAAAATTCAAGGTAAAAAAATTCCATTTTGGGGCCAAATTGACTAATTTTAAAAATTATTGTTAGTGAAAATGTGGGGAAATTGATAAACTTAACATACTTTTCTGACATTAATTTGACCATATATATTAATATTATAAACATTCAGGCCCTTTGATCCAACAACAGGCCTGAAGCTTAAATATGTAAAAAGAGGGGAATGGTTAAATAATAAAACATCAGGATCATCATTGAAATGAAAAAATGCTCAAAAATAATTTCAAGAGTAAATGTGATGCATAACTCTACAAATAAAATATACAAACCTCAGATAATAAAAACCGCCCTGAAAGGACTATAACAATTTTTTTAGTGGATATACCTGAAAGGAGTAAAGAGTGATTTTTATGTTCTTCTTTGTGCTTGAACCTATTTTCTAAATTTTCTACAATGGATATTTATGACTTTTAAAGTAGGAATTTAGAAAAAAGAAAGAAAATGTATGCCTATCTACAAAATTCAACATGCTACTGCACTGTATCTATAAAATAAAGTCCAAATTGGCCAGGCTCATGATAAAGCTCTTCTGATCTGATTTTATTTTATCAACCCAACCTTATTTCTAATGAGTACCCAACTCGAACACTTAACTCTATCCCAAATAGTCACCAGCATGTTATGGTTCATCCAAATTCCATCATGTTCTTCCAGTCAGGCCAAAAGATCCTCCTCTCCCCTTGCGTTTCTGATTATAAATATTTCAAGCTAACTTCAGATGTTCATGGTGTTCTAAGCTAAGTCTGGTAATTTGACAAAATCACTTTAGACTCTGACTCCACTGAACTTAGCCACAGTAATTAAGAAGAAAGCTCCTTGGAAGAGCAAGAATCTCATTGATCTTTGTTAAATGAATAAAAATAATCACTACCATGCTCATAACAATAGGAGCTGACATTTCTTGAGAGCTTTCGATTTAGAAGGAGGGTCTGTGCTGAGTACTTTATACTTTATCTCATTCAATGCTCAGAACACCCTCCCTGCCCATTTCACAGAGAAAAAAACTGAGCCTGAGGTAGGGTATGCATATTTCCCAAGGAGATCTAGGCAGCATGGGCCTAGGATTCAAATCTCCCCCTGGCTGATACCAATAAGCTCTTCACTACCAAATTTGCTTATGGAAAGCCCACTAGAGATAATTTTGTATTTGACATACCTTATTGATTAATCCAACTATCCAAGTAGCTAAGTTAAAATAATGTGTTATACTACAAAGTTTCATTTTACATATAAAATAGATATAAAACAATACAAATTTCTGCTAAATCTCATTATATAAATAATATGTTTACCTGTATAGGACCAGCCAATCTCTTCAACAAGTTTTCTCTGTTGTCTGTAGTATCCATGAGCCCAATCTGTAACCAAGAAAAACCAAGAGATCAGTGGGTAGAAAAATAGTGTCCGAAATTTAAAAATGTAAGAAACCTAAATCATTCATACCATAAATGGTTCTCAAGTACTCCTTTCCAGGTCACCTTCCCACTGTCTCCTCTCAACCTCAGCTACCACCATCATAGACTCTAAGGCCCCCGTTATGGCAGTTAGTGTAAATTTTAGGGAATACATTTAAAGAATGCTGAAGTTCATGCAAGAGCAAAGCAAATATTTGGGTAAAGCAGGAACAGCTTAGAGGGGTTCATCTCAAAGATAGCCTGAGGTCAGAGGGGACAGCTTGTTGTACTTCCGCATTTTTTTTACCATTCCCTAAGTCTAATACCTGACATCCTACTGATTAAAGTCATTTTGGGGCTTATAACCTACATTTTATTTCTCTTTCTTTCCTCTTTGCTAAACTAGGTTTCACAAATGAATATAACCCAAATTTTATCTGTAAATACCTCTAGGAGACCCAAAGATTATCATGCTTTCAAAATTTGCTTCCCTTCTAATGCAAAATGAAATTTGCTGCCTTGAGAAAATTGGAATTTAAATGTATGTATGTTGGCTGGGAGAAAAATTATGTTAAAGAGTGTGGGCAAATTTGTCCTTTGGATTAACAAAGATGTTTAGGGCATGGGAAGCCTAGGGCATCCTACATGTAGTGGATGCATCAAGATCTACAAAGAAAGTTTCTAGTTCTAGAACATGGGGCAAGGGATATAGAAAGGAAGATGGGGTGGAAGCCACAGTCTCACTCTACATAATTCAAAATTTTGCCTGGAGCTATGCCTGTACCCAACAAATAGGGATGTTATGATTCATCTTCCTCCTTCCTGTGTCATTTTCCCTTAATACCAATTGAACTAACATTAATACTTCATTTCAGCTACATTGTGGATAAAATAAATCTTTGTAGGCTAGGTTTAGAACATGATCAGTGTTGGCAGAACTGTTTCTTTAGAAAAGGCTACATAAAAAACTATTTTTATGTGTGTGTGTGTGTGTGTGTGCGTGTGTGTGTGTATACATAAAATAAATGCTTGCATTCAAATGAATTCTGTATTCACAGAACCCCAATTTAGGAATGAATAATGTTCCACAAGTTCATTTGTAAACTAGCTTTTATAAAAACTAAAAGGCAGACCAGCTATCAGAAATGCACACTCAGAATCCATAGATTATTCAGAGCCAAAACCTATCTTGAAGAAATAAAGGTTTTCTTTTTATTTAAAATTTTTTAATCCATATAACTAGGTAAATATTCCACTGGCCATGTAGCACATTTCAACACATATTTTCTACAATATTTTTATTGAAATATAATTTATATCACACAATTCACCCATTAAAGTGCACAATTCAATTAGTATATTTCCAGAGTTGTGCAATTGCCGCTGCAAATAATTTCAGAACACCTTCATTACCCCCAGTAGAAACTTCACACCCTTTAGCTGCCACCTTATCCCACCTCCACCCCCAGCCCTAGGCAACCACTAATCTACTTTGCCTCCATAGATTTGACTATTCTGGACATTTCCATATAAACAGAATCATACAACATACTGCCTTTCGTGACCAGCTTCTTTCACTTGACATAATGTTTTCAAGGTTGATCCGTGGTACAGCATGTATCAACGCTTCATTCCTTTTTCCTGCCCAAGAATATTCTACTGCATGGTGAGCAAGACAGCCTTAAAGTTCCCCTCAGCTTGACTAAACTCTAGAAAGGCTCTTTAACTGTAGGCCCCTGACTTTCCTTTTCTTATACCATTTACATTAGAAAGGTTGTAATTCTTTCTCTGCTCCTTTGAGATGTAAATCTTTTTAACAGCCACCTGACAATTTGACTAAGTGTACTTCTCAAGGACCTGAAAATCACCTCTTTGAAGTGGAATCAACAAAAGAAATAACATCCTTATCTTCCAGTTTAGATGGAGGGTAGGAGCCTAACTTCAGTGGGGTCCTTGCACAAAGTTGCAAAAACTACCTTCCACCGTAAAGATAAGGGTTTATTTTTTCTTTGGATAAAGTTAATTAGCAAACATAGATAACCTATGACTTCCCCCAAATGTCCTGCAGTTATTTTCCAATAGTTCACTCCAGCCCTTAAAAAACCCTTATCCCCTATGCTTCTTAGGAGTTGAGCCCAGAGTTGGTTTTTGCTTCCCTCTCCCATTACAATAGCCTTGAATAAAGTCTTCCTCGCCTGTTTAACTTTGGTACAATCTTTGTTTTGACAATGGACATGCCACATTTTATTTATTAACTGATGGATACTTGAGTTGTTTCTACTTTTTGGCTATTATGAAGAATGCTGCTATGAATATTCATCTATATGTTTGTTTTTTTTCTACTTATAAATGAAATATTAGGTTCACAATTTATTTTTCAAATAGAGTTGTCCCATAAGATGGTAGTCATTTACAACTGAATCAATTTAAATTACATTCTAAGGAAAAGAGCTTCTTCATCATAAATGAATATATACAACTGGATATTAGAAAGGATCATAAAAGATTATGGATGCAGACTTTAACAGTCTGGAAAAAAATAATTTCTATTTTAGAGATAAGGCAATTTATGCCGAAGAAATGTAAGTCGTTTGTACAGTTTGTAAGTGCTAAAAATGGAAATTATAGTGATGAATAGCTCCTGCCTTCTACTCCACTAATCTTTCCCCAATGTCAAGGCTTCCTAACAACCCTGAGCTATTGGTTACTCTCCTAAGGTGCTTTGCCCGAGCATGAAACCCTATGTCACGCATGCCTCCAAGAGGAACAAAATAAAACAATACAGAGGGCTAAAGGTTCACTAGTAGGAATTATTTGGACAAATAAATTATAAAGAATTGAATATATCTTTGGTATGACCCGGCAATCAATTGAAATTTTCCTCTGAAACTTTGCACTGACAATAGGGAAAAGATTTATTGTCATCTTTTACATATTTTAAGTATAAATATTTTCCAAATATAAGATATTTTGTCATTTAAATGCATTTTGGTGACTTTAGAAGATCAGATACCATACAAAACCTCCATTTAACAAGTATCCTATTGAAAACTCCTGAATAGTAAGCTCTAGTGTTAATGATTCATTCTAAAGGATGACAGCAAAATATCAGCAGATTTTTAGCTTTCCTTGTACAGCTTTATCCCTATACAATGAACATTTGTCCTTGGTTTTTAATTACTTACATTAAGAAAGCTTTTTCAATACAAGATTCCCAGGTGTTGGTAGCTCCCTTCAGTTCCTTTATGTATTGTTCCCTTAATTGTTACTTCAAACAATCCGTTACACATTCATATGCTAATTACACAGTGCTTGGGCGTGAGAGAGTACCCCACTTTTAAAATTCTACTTAGAAGTCTGATAGATGAGATGTGATAGCTCCAATGAACAAGAAAAAAAGAAGCTAGGTTCACTTTTTTGTTGCATTATATACTTTGAAAACCAGCAAATCCCATATAAAATAGAATCTATCAAAGTGCTTATACACTTTAAAATCCATTCAAATAATGAAATGTAGTTTTTTTGTTTTTTTTTCTTGTTTCTGTGAATTTTAGTTTCTTTCCATTTAAAATATTTGCCAGGTCTGTTATGATGTGACTGTCTCGCAGTGATAAAACTAAGAAATTTCAGGACGGAACTGTATAGATGATATACAACAAGAAAACATATGTTAATGAATCTCTTTTAAAGTTACTCTAAAATTTGTCCTGAAAAAATATTCATGAAGTGGCTTTCTGATCTGCTAAAAATATTAGGAGAAAATTAGTTTATATTATTTCAGATAACCTTAAATGTTCATGTACTTACCTTGAGCACCTACATATGTGTAAATATATACATATATGTGAAAATATACATATATTTATTTATAAATATCCCTTTATTTTTCTTCATATTCATGTAAAGCAAATCAATGTTTTGTTTTGCTTGATAAACACCATTAGCACTTTTTGTCAAGCTTTTTAACCCCTCCCCTAAAAAATCATGGTGCTCATTTCCACTACAAAAACATCATTTTAAATATTTTGAACTGCAAAAATGCTTCTGATTGTGTCCTTACCCTAAAGAAAGTCTCTGATTCATGTTGATTAACAATTTATCACCTGCATCCTACTACAAATTCTAGCAGCAGTTCTTTGACAAAATACATATACACACACATTTTAGTGCCATCAAATGGCCAAAATATAATGGGGAGAAATAGAGTGGGCCCCAGAAAAAGAAACTTCAGGTAGAAAATAACCACAGATGCAGGTTTGAAGTTCAGAATTCCTGATTTCTTAAAGTGGACTTGTCCAAGGTAGATGGTACTTCTTGCATATTTCACACCCTTTAAAGAAGTTACTAAGAAACTTCTGAGGAGGGGAAATGGAGGTCAGTTGGTGGCAGAAATCTAGAAAAGTGGCAAAGAAAAGATAGAGTTAGAGATGAACTTTTAAATCCCTAGAAGAAGATTGACAAGAAGAGACAAGGGAGGAGGGACTGATGTTCCAGGTAGAAGAAAGGGCATGAGCATCAAGAAGTGACAAATCTTGGAAGCAAAGGTGTGAGAGGCCAGGTGAGTTCTCCTGTGGCATCTGCATAGATCACTAGGGACTTATTCTTGGTAACAGTTGACTGTGATACAAGGTCATATCAATCTTCATACTTATCATTTTCATCCTACTCTCCCCTCTTACCTAGATTTCTCTTAAAAGTAAAAAGCAGGTAGTCTACGGAGTTGACTGAAAAGTGTTGAATATATTCTATACATTAAATATATTCTGAAGGAAAATATCAAATAAGAGTATGGAATAATCAGATAAATATTTTGACTGAAATGAAAGGGGCTGGGTGTGTGCTTGCGAAGGCTTGAAGAAGGACCTGGAAATCCTGGAGATAGTCTAGTGTCATCAGAGTAATTATTATCCATTGAAGATTTTGACAGTCGGACATGCATAAGACCAATGTGGTAGTGATAGAAA